CTGTTGGTTATTGTAATAAGTGTGGTTTAGTGGACTTAGCATGGAGGGGTGTTTCAATCTGTTCAAACAACAAGAGTTTAGGCACAGAATGAGTTGCCAGACATCCATATTTGGAACATACTGAACAACTTGGTTGGTTCAGAGCAAAGGAGTATATCAGTTGCTTTGTAGTCAGTGGCTTCCATGAAGATTTTGTTGTATTCAGAATGATGTGTTAAAATGGTTTAGCTTGTTATAGTTTAATGTATAGTCAATGGTTAACATGATTAATTAAATGTTTGCCCCTTTCCTGTACACAAAATAGAAACAGGTATAAATTCTGTGGTACAATGGTGTAGTTATGAACACTGTAGCACATACTGTACCAGTGATCTAACAACGCGTGGCGGTGTTACGTTGAATAATGAACAATTTGCATACTCGTATATGCAAGAAGCCGACGTATGGTTCTCAGTAGGAAGTGACAACTTGGAGACGATGGCTTGTGGTATATACAGTTTTACTTTATACATGTAGATATATACATACAAAAGACACTATGTGCCAGGTCAGCACATAGTGGTAGTGGTTGTTGTCCAGGTGCCCCGGAGCACCCAGCCTAACCCTAGCTAGGCTAAGGGTAAGACCTTTCTTTCTCCTTCTTCTCTCAATCTCTCTGGACCAAGGCTTATATAGCCAAGGTCACCTGACATTTAGTAAGTAATAAATATAAATGTAAACAGTAAATCATTAGTGACATACTTGCACATCCTGTTCAGGATGTACACAAAAATGGGGATTAACAAATAGGATTAGCATCCTATAAATAACAGCAATTAAGTGTTTCAAGGCATATAGATGTCATGGCTCCAGGGTAATGAGCCTTTACAATCAAATGTTCTTCAGACAATGGATGTCGTAAATCAGTCGCTATGACAACTTCCATCCGTTCCGTGAAGCTTGGACCCCAAGCTTACATGAGTCCAAATTGATATGTGTGAACTTTGTCACCAACGAAAACAACCATGCAAATGTGAACCAAATCAGTTACACGAAATCCTTATGCAACAAATATATCTATGCAATGACAGTATGAAAGTGATCATCTAGCCAATTTGATTTAGTGCCAGTTTGAAAACTAACCAAGTGATCTTTGTAATGTGCAATTTCACTACAAGGTAATTACTGCTTTGCACAGATTCAATAAATATATCACTGAAGGTTCTTTGAATTCAGGAGTCTAGTTTGGAGGTGCGACTCAGTACCGAATAATGATAATGAGTAATGTCATAAAAAGTACAAATTAAACATCTCAGCAAATATTTCGCATAAAGAAATTTGAAACCAGGAGTCTAGCTTTACCGCGTGACTCAAACGGTACTTGTGGGTACTATTGCCCTTTTAAGTACAATGGGTGCTCTTCCCGTGTCTTTGACGGAGCTTGCCCAGATATTGTGGGTGCAATGCCCAAGAAAAAAATTCCTTAATTCCGACATCAAAACTCTGAAATGCTGAATACTGCTGTGCTGTTAATTACTTAATACTGACATACAATAAACATATGTGTGGGGGTGGCTCACCCAAGAATATCCCTAATCTGAATTCAAAGTCCTTGACAATACATTCAATTTTGTACCAAACTGTGCACATTAATAACTTGTAACAAATGACAAATTTTGTCGTTTAGATTTTTGAAATTACGAGTCGAGCTTTAAGGTGTGACTCGATAACCCTACAGCTTAGGTTTGTCTGGGCCCTAGCTGCAACTATATGTCTGGCTTGGCCTGGAGACATTTCAAAGATTCCCTACACAATAACTTCAAAGATCTAGCTTGACTAAAGATGTAATTATGAGTATATTGCACATATAACAATATATTTTGGAAAGACAGATTTTTGCATTAATATACTGGCTTTGATCAAACATACCTGGTTGCACTTATCAACAGTCACACAATATATATCCTGGATTGAGTCCATGTAAGTAAACACAAATTAGTAAGTCCCAATGAGATATCTTGTACAGTGTCCATCTTGTAGGTGCCCGTGAGGCGGTTTCTATATGGTGCAGGATCTGCATGAAGATGGCTGTGGTCGGGTCTCTGTGGGATAGGCGTGTATACTTCTTTTCTTTGGTCCTGTGCAGTGTGCAGGAACGACATCTTGAAGGGGAAGTCTCAGCAGTGTTGCTAAGATATTTGAGCAGGGAAGGTTTGGGATCGGAGAACTTGTTCTTGATCGGAGAGGTTCTTGTTCTTTCTTCAATCTTGTTACTGGCCGTTTCTTCGTTCTTGGTGATTGGCCTTCAGGAAGGTAGTATATCCTTTCAATAAGAGACTGTCACTTCCTACAGTATTGTGAACCATATGCCATGCTGCAAAGAGGTACAGGAAAGGACAGACTAAGAAGTCTGTCATACCTGATAGCTCCACCAATTTATCATGGACTGTTATGGGTGAACAAAACCGTCCAAATGGCGTGCTGGATTTCTTGGGGGAATTAGTCAGCAAAGAGCCGGAGTCACAGGAGCCTAATCACAATTTTATTTACAAGAACAATTAACAATGAGCAAGTTACAATATCTTAGAAAATAACTGAGGGTGCCACAGAGAAGGGGTTTGACTCTCTTACCAAGCAGACCTCTCTCCCACAGCCCAGAGTGTTGTACCGACTCTCTGTGGCCCCCTCAGTTATTTTCTAAGATATTGTAACTTGCTCATTGTTAATTGTTCTTGTAAATAAAATTGTGATTAGTCTCCTGTGACTCCGGCTGTTTGCTGACTAATTCCCCCAAGAAATCCAGCACGCCATTTGGACGGTTTTGTTCACCCATAACAGTCCATGATAGATCACTGAAGCAGCAATGTAGCTATAGAATGATCCTGTCATGTGTAGTCAATGTACTATGACCACCCAGATATATACTGTTGATATGAACACTATGGGTCCTACTGTAGATATGAACAGTGGGATATACTGTAGATATGAACAGTGTGGTACATACTGTAGATATGAACACTGGTACATACTGTAGATATGAACTATGGGATATACTGTAGAAATGAACAGTGTGGTACATACAGTAGATATGAACAGTGGGATGCACTGTAGATATGAACGATGTGGGTCCTACTGTAGATATGAACACTGTTGGAAATACTGTAGACATGAACAGTGGGATGTAACTGTAGATATGAATAATATGGGTCCTACTGTAGATATGAACAATGTGGTACATACTATAGATATGAACACTGGGTCCTACTGTAGAAATGAACAATGTAGTACATACTGTAGCTATGAACACTGGGATATACTGTAGATATGAACAGTGTGGTACATACTGTAGATATAAACACTGTTGGAAATACTGTAGATATGAACACTGGGTCCTATTGTAGATATGAATACTGTTGGAAATACTGTAGATATGAACAGTGGGATGTACTGTAGATATGAACAATATAGGTCCTACTGTAGATACGAACAATGTGGTACATACTGTAGATATGAACACTGGGATATACTGTAGATATGAACACTGGGTCCTACTGTAGATATGAACAATGTAGTACATACTGTATATATAAACACTTGGAAATACTGTATTATGAACACTGGGATATACTGTAGATATTAACACTGGGATATACTGTAGATATTAACACTGGGATATACTGTAGATATGAACACTGTTGGAAATACTGTAGATATGAACACTGGGATATACTGTAGATATGAACACTGGGTCCTACTGTAGAAATGAACAATGTAGTACATACTGTAGATATGAACACTGGGATATACTGTATTATGAACACTGGGATATACTGTAGATATTAACACTGGGATATACTGTAGATATTAACACTGGGATATACTGTAGATATGAACACTGGGATATACTGTAGATATAAACACTGTTGGAAATACTGTAGATATGAACACTGGGATATACTGTAGATATGAACACTGGGATATACTGTAGATATTAACACTGGGATATACTGTAGATATGAACACTGGGATATACTGTAGATATGAACACTGGGTCCTACTGTAGATATGAACACTGTTGGAAATACTGTCGATATGAACACTGGGTCCTACTGTAGATATGAACACTGTTGGAAATACTGTCGATATGAACACTGGGTCCTACTGTAGATATGAACAATGTAGTACATACTGTAGATATGAACAGTGTGGTACATACTGTAGATATAAACACTGTTGGAAATACTGTAGATATGAACACTGTTGGAAATACTGTAGATATGAACACTGTTGGAAATACTGTAGTTATGAACACTGGGTCCTACTGTAGATATGAACAATGTAGTACATACTGTAGATATGAACACTGTGATATACTGTAGATATGAACAGTGTGGTACATACTGTAGATATAAACACTGTTGGAAATACTGTAGATATGAACAATGTGGTACATACTGTAGATATAAACACTGTTGGAAATACTGTAGATATGAACACAGGGTCCTACTGTAGATATGAATACTGTTGGAAATACTGTAGATATGAACAGTGTTAAGTTGTTTGATAGGCATTACTTAGAAGTTGATGGATGACAAGGTAGACACAATTTTATGGAAAGCAACTTCTTTAATTCTGTAAAAAAAAGAGCTGTTTCGGTATAGATCCTTATACCGTTGTCAAGCAAGACACTTTTTACAGTATTAAAGAAGTTGTTATCCATAAAATTGTGTCTACCATGAACACTGTATAACATACTGTAGATATAAACACTGGGATATACTGTAGCTATGAACACTGTGTAACATTCTGTAGATATAAACATTGGGATATACTGTAGCTATGAACAGTGTGGTACATACTGTAGATATACACACTGGGATATACTGAAGATATGAACAGTGTTGTACATACTGTAGATATAAACACTGGGATATACTGTAGCTATGAACACTGTGTAATATACTGTAGATGCGAATTATGGTATATAGTTTGAATAACTGATTGTCTTTGTATAATTGCAGGTATTGGAGGAGTTTTGCTTCCGCTTCGCCCTGAACCACATGACAGCTGTCACCCAGACTGAGGCTTTTACCAAGCTGGATGAGTGTGTTGTCAAAGAGTTTATTCGAAAGGCAGCCCTGGCCGGAGCTTTTAAGTACTGAGTTAAGGCCTGTACTGCACTATACACCTGTTATACGCTGCAGTAGAAGGAATTGTGGCCAGTCACTACAGAAGAGTTAATGCTGTTGTTGAATACTGGACTGACAACTGTAACGCGACATATAGTTTACCTGTCTGAAGGACATAGACTTGATGATATGGTCAAGATTAGGGAATGGCATCCCATTGATCTCAGATGAGGACCCCAAGTTAGATTGAACCCATGGCTGGCTGGGGAAGCCATGTGCCTGACAGTGTTAATGAGTTTACTGGCTGCCACATATCTTGTTAGGTGAGCTTTGCAGAATTAACCCTTGAAGGAAACTGCTACAACTTACCTTCCTCAAGACTGCTGAAAAAAGGTGCTTATATACACTCATTTGCATTTCCAATCTGGTGTGATTGATTGGACATAGTGCACATAAACTGTTGTAGATTAGAGTTTGACTGAGGTTACCAACTGCTCTGTCATATGCATACAATGATTGAATATGGAATACAAGGTGGTGTGACATGCAAGGGATCACCTCTTGTGTAGCTTGAGTCGAAGATATTATTGGAAACTGTGTCAATGTGAGATACAATTTTGATTTAGTAGATTTTTAGAATGAAAAGAACACTTTTTTTAGTTGGGACCATATAATGTAGGATGGATGTCTGGGTCATGCTGATGGAGTTGTCAGTTATATATATTTATGGCTGTAGTTTGAATGACATTTGGTGATGGATTTGCATAATGGACTTTGTAATTGATATCAGTAAGTAGCTACAGAACAGAGAATATGAAAATAAGGTCATAAAACCAGACTCAATGCTTATTTACTGGCATTTTGAATTCCCCTTCAGGCTGATGAAGGTTTCAGGTAATGAAACAGCAGGACTGTTTTTTACTATGAATTGCTAGGTTGATTACATTAGGATTTTTTAAATAACAAATAATAACAGAATCTCTCCCCTCTTCAAGCAGTTGATCAAACAATCCATATGACATAGCCAATTAACAACTAGCCTGACCTTCAAATAACACTTCATATAAAAGCTTTTTGATAAGCTCTGAGCCTCACGTAGAAGGACATGACCTTAAAATATTAAAATTATTTATTTTTCAACATAACTCCCTTCCACGTTGATTGATGCTGAAAGAGCTCAAAGCCAGACTTGTTATTGTAGCCATGACAATGTATATTTTATCCCCTGGTGCATAGTCCTGATGAAGAGCACACCTTTTCCCAGCTTCCCACATCTCTTGGTCAACTCATAATTGCCTCAAAAGTCCAGCATAATATGCTTCGTTTACTGGCTGGCCTTTTGGAAGATTATCCAACATGATGACACCCTCGGCATCCATGAACACAGCCATAACCTTTCCAGCTGATGGACAGTCTTTGGTGGTGGTGATGTCAAATGCTTCCACTGTTTTGCTTTTTGTTTGGACTGGAAGTGGTGAACCAAGGTATCATCCAGAGTCACAAACTGTTGCAGGAAGCTTTCTGGATCAACTTCAAACAGAGCTAGGTTAACACAAGACCCGTTGTGCCTGGTACTTTTTGATCAGAAGTCAGAAGCTTTGACACCAAATGATAAAGTTTCTGTGATAATGGACTCTACTCTCTCCTGGAGAATGCCTACAGAACTAGCAATATGTCGGTCATCACCATATAATGGATTCTCTGGATCATTATTGGTGTTGCTGACATGACAGGCCTTTCAGGACAGAATCAAGTCATCTTCAAGGCTGTCCCTGCCACACTTAAACTCTGCTGCCCACCTCTTTACAGTGGCATAGGTAGGGGTATTTTTCCCTAGTGTTGTACTCATATCTTTATGGATGGCTTTTTGTGTTAAGACCTGTTTCTGAAAGTACTTCACTATAGCATGTTCTTTAAGTTGGTCCTTTTTCCAAAAGACACAAACTCCTGCTTGTTGGCTGACTTGTTGTAGTGAAACAACTTGCTCAGTTGACTCAAGTTTTTGTGGATATTCATTTATGACATCATATAGTGTCCACAACAAAAGATCTAACTGTTACACAATTCCTTCTATGTGAGGCTCAGAACTTAGCAATCAACGCCTATCTAACATTCAACTCACTTTGAATGCAACCTTGGCAGTACACAATGTTGTCTAGTATTTTCTTCTTTTAAGCTTAAGATGAACCTGTCCCAAATGTTGATGAGATACATATATACTAGTAGTTAGTGCTGTTTACTGATGGACTGTCTTACCATAGTGTGCTTTATCTTTGTGGTTCATACACGCCAGGCTGACAATCAGTCACAAACAGAATGATTCAGTGGTTTTCCATGTCTCTCGGCTTGAATGTCATGTTATTTCAATCTTAGAAGGCTATTTGCTAAACTTAAGATTACTGGGCAGATTAACTTGACATCCCTTCATAATATAAATATATATAAGGTATAGATAATGTTACACACATGTATGTTGGTTATATACTTCCTTTTATGTTAAATACGGTCTGCAATACATATCGGGATTAAGTGTGGTTAATAAACAGTTATGATATCTCAAACTTATCATATCTCACACATTGCATTTCTTCCTTCTTCTTTTGATCCTATGTGGAAACGTGAATACCCCTGCCACATTCTCATTCTCATTGCCACACTGTGGAGACGTGCACTGAGTGTTCATAGAATACATTTTGTTTAACATTGTATGGACTTTACAATATTGTTTAAGGGAAAATGAGCGTGGATAAGGAACATCCCCTGGCCTCTCTTAACTGTAGAACTACCTTTTCTACTTCGTACCCTCACAACTTAGTACTGCAATGGCCACGACAGTCACAGCATAACAAGCATTGCTCCCTGTTTGCCCATCTTACGGGCGACACATTCAACATTTATCCCTGCAATTGCCACAGATGCGAAATTGATTGATGCTAAAAATAAAAGGACTTTGGCTGTGGACCGTCTTCTGCAAAAAAATCTGAGAAGTCAACCTAGGTGCCCACTTTATTGGTGGCTGGTGACTAAGTTTCGGACAGTTTTCTTACGGATGACGTCCCTACTGTGCCACTTCAACAGTCCATTTCTGATACACCCAGTGTAAGCTGCCAAAATCAACCCCCCTTCAGAGTATACCCCGGGGTAGATTTTGGAGACTTCCCAGAATCCACCCCTTTCCCAGAATCTACCTCCAGAGGGTATAATCTGGAAGTTCCCAAAACCTACCCCAGGGTAGATAATAATAAATTGAATCAAATTAAAAACTTCAATATGTTGTTTTATACATGCAAAGGAGAAATAAATATTGTTTAAACTAATAAAAAATATCTTACAAATCACATTGACTTTAACTCATTGTAGTCATCATCAATATGTAAGATTGAAAGTTGGTGTTGTGAATTGTGTGAGGAAATGTCTTACACTTATATTATTGAATAAGCTTTAATATGCGTTAATAGACCTAGCTTCTTTTGATTGCATATGAAATCATTCTATAACCTATCATAAGTATGCACTTGTGTCTGTAAGTACCTTTGTTTGGGGAGGCATGTATCACAGTATCAAGAATATATTCTGACTATAGAAGTCATCACATCATTAAAACCATCTAATTATTTGTCCATTTACATTCTAATTCTTCCAAATGTAGTCAGATGGGTGTAATTAATTTCCCAAAGCAGTTGTCATTGTCTTAGTCAGGGTTTTTATATTATTATCAATAAAAAACAGAGAAAACTACCATAAAATATGAGAGCAATTTTATTCTGAAAACCAATATCCAATGATTCCTTGAATTATTTCAATGTCACGGGACATTTATTACTACGTTAAAGTGTTCATGGAGGTTGGTAAGATACACAGCACCAATGGACAGCTTCTTAAGCGTGAATGATGCTGGGTAGCATAGCCATTTCAGCTCCTTTCCATAATGGGTATACTGGTAGACAACAATGTCAGTTTGCAGAAGAGAAGCAGTGGCCATAATCTCTGCATCCGTTGCCCAGACACCACTTTCATCATTAACTTGATCATCCATAATTAAAAGTGGATAAAATCGGTACCTTTGCATTTATGTATACAGGTGTATAACCTATTCAAATGAGTCACATTCTCATCTCACAAGTGAGATTTCTTTAATTATGATTACTGTTTGGAAAAACTGGTGCCTCCACCTTTGTCTTTTCAATTTAAATAACAGGATATGCATGTTTTAAAACTAATTAGATGTGTAGTGAATAGGCATTTATGTAAATAGTAATCAGATGACAATGTTGTTACAGCAATTGACCAGAAGAGATCAAGACTGAGTTAGATGCATTCCAAAAAAGAACTTCATGTACATTCATGAAATAAAAACGTTTAAATCAAACAGGGCTGGAGTAGATTCTGGGGGCTGCTAAGTTATAGTTATACCCCGGGATAGATTATGGGAGCTCCCAGATTATACCCTGGGATAGATTCTGGGAACTCCCAGAGTATACCCCCGGGGGTTGATTCTGGGAAAGGGGGGTAGATTCTGTGAGCTCCCAGAATCTACCCAGGTATACTTTGAAGGGGGGTATACTTTCAGACTTTACACCAGGTCCTTGCCTCCGTCAGAACAAACAGTACTTTGGACATTTGCATAGTTCTCTCTTCAGTCCAAGTCTGCTTTGACAGTGGATGGATGGATGGATGGAACAAGGATCGATCCCATGCTCCTTCCAAGGGTTGACTAAGGTTCAACAGTCAAAGGATCGTCGTTCCAGTTCACCTTGTCACACTCGGGACCGACACTCTTGTGATTGATGGGTGGAGGATCAATCATCTGAGGCCGACGATTGGGGGAATCGATCTTATCAGGATTGACAATTTGAAGTTTGACACTCTGGGGATCGACACTCTTGCATGAAGACTACGGATTCATCTCGTACCACATGATACAGACTTGGCTTAGCGCTCAGACCAACGTCATCAAGAGAGAAACATGATATTTCAAGAGACACATGGAATATCCTATTTATTATACTTTTTGTGCAGTTGTCTTCCGTAAAATGAAATCATGTCATTGCACATCTAAAACCTTAACGTAAATTCTCCCTACCTCACAGACAGAGACGGTTCACAACCCCATTGTAATTGCGACTTAAAAAGTAATTGCGACTTAAAAAGTAGTTCTGTGTTTGCACAATATTAACAAATATTAGCAAAAGTAACCCAAACTATTAAGAGTCACAAAAATTCTTTATTATACATTTAAATATGATTATATACAAAATCAACTTCAACAAAAAATATTTTTGAAATCTACGAGACCACAGTTGGAAGCGAAAGAATACATGCTGGTCAAGTAACAAAAATGGCGCTTTGCAAAACGAACAGTCTCGATTGATGAGTTTACAGTTTATACTAAGAGAATGACAAACGGCAAGAAGCAATATTAACTCAATGAATGACTGTCTGTCATTATTTTGCCTTGTCAATGTGGAACTAACGTAAAAAAAAAGTCAACAGTTTATGTACGGGCTGGAGATAATTTGCAGGATTTAACTCTTGTATGGTAATAGTCAAAGTGTTATGTTCACTGCACTGAAACATGAAGTGTTATGTTCACATATAGTGAAATATCAAGTCTTTCACACTGAAGTATGTAATAATTGGTTATATGTTTGTCTTCAAATGTAAGAATTTACTACAAAAGTGTGATAGATGTGGAAATTACAGATTGTAGAAAGGGAACCATGTTTTAGCTCCTATGAGCATATGCAATTTTTTACTGTAATGTTTGAATGTGACAATGTAAGCTACTTCTGTGAGTTTTGTATGTTACTTATGGTACTTCAACATTAGATGTTTGTGGATTCCATGGCACACAAACTAGTTCTTGTCTTTCTCAATATACATAACTTATATCCCGTGATAGTTTCCACCTTGACCAGCTTGTGTTTGTAAACCCATATGTTGTGTTTAAATTCCATTCTTTCTGCAGGTTATTCTTAAAAGTCAATTGCTTTAGCTCCAGACTAACATGATTCACTAACACATAACTGATACATTCAGCCATATATTCAGCACACCACAGAATACGACCAAGGAGTTTCTGAAAAAGAAAGATTATCAGACATGTTACTTTTTACATTATTTTGTCATCAATATTTACTGTAGGTTGACCTTTTCCCCCTCTATGCTCATTGCTAAAATATTGTAGCTCACATGAACCAAAATGTAAGGTGTAAAATTACTCACCGTCTGTTGTATTTGGACTTCTTCTAAAACCGGGGCATGAAACTTTGCATCGAGGATCCAATCATCATGAACATTGTTATGATGCACCTCACAGGAGTCCCGACCAAAAATGTCATTTTGTCTCCTAATTCAGTCATATAATAATATGTTCCATGGCAGTGGGTAAAGATTTAGATGGCTACATTTCCCCATCTCTTTGGAAACACTGCCATGATGAATACCATGTTCATCATTGTTTGCATGCATCAAGTATTAAGCTGCATGACTAGGAATTTATGTGGAGTGAACTTACATTTAATATGGATTTACATTGTATTTGAAGTGACATATTCCTTTATTAATTGTAATTAAATTTCTCTTTACAACAGGCCAAAGTTGTTGACATATATATACTAAAGTATATATTCTTTTTTCAAATGAATGCCAGGAATGTAGTTGTTGTTGCTGCTTTAAGTGTTTAAGAGGATCCTTATGCCTAAGCAATTTCGGCTGACCTGTCCCTCTTTGGGACTCCTGTGTGTGAGTGGGGTACACATATCTATTGTGAGTTTAGTATTCACAGAATTTCTGTTTTTGTATTGATATGATTTCTGTTTTTGTATATTGATATAATTTCATTTTAATCTTTGGCTGCTCTGTTTATATACGTTTGAGTAGCTGTCCATCTCTCAGAAATAGGGTTAGTTTGGTCTTCGCTATTTCGTCTCTTGGCTTTAAGAGATCTACGACAGATAGCAGATCTAACCCCAATTCTTGTTTCAACTAAGTCCGGCTGTGGCATGGTCTTGACATTCCAGGAACAAGTGAGCAATGGATTCAGGTTGATTGCAAGATGGACAAACCTTGTCAATGTGCATTTGTGACCGAGTCTGAGGGGTGAGATGGCAATTTCAACCTTCCTTTCATTTGAGTAGGAGTTTGGCTTTTGGTGGGTCTTGGGCTGAATTTTATATAGCAATCTGCCGATCTTACTTGCATCCCACTGGGCTTGCCATCTTTGGGCTATGGCGGCTTGGATTTTGCTTTTTATCTCTAGATTACTAAAGGGAATAGGCTGTATCTCTGCATTGAAAGGCAAAACTGAAAGGATACTCAACCTACAAGTTTGTCATTGAGACCATGTGGTTGAAAACTTTGGAGTTTAAAAATCCACTTGAGTTCAAGAGCTCTTCTCTTGGTGGTGGTTTCTACAATCTCAGGGTTATTTTTGAGTTGTGTGATAATGTTGTATTCAACATTGTTTTTGCCGTGTCCTGTGGAATTGAAGTGTAAGGAGACTGGTTTGTCTCTCTTATGGTAGATGTCTGCAAAATGTTCACTTAGTCTTATTTGAAAACTGCGTTTGGTTTTCCCTA